AAATCTATCAATCCTTCCAAAGCTGCTCCTCCCATATCAATGAACCCTTCACCATGACCTCTCACTAGGTGTCATTCTTCCCCATTATAAGTCAGTTTCTTAAAGTTTCAATAAGTCTTTTCTCAGAAGGGTAAGGGCAATGTACATAGGGAGACACAGGGTACTGGATATAGCACTCCCTTCTGGGGAAAGGTAGGAAATATAATAATAATAAACGAGTTTGGTAGTAGTACTCATGCTGGGAGGCAGTACTTGGAATATATATAAAGGAAGGACACAATATTGGGAATCTAAACCTGGGTTATATCTTGCCTTAGTCACTTAGTCATTATTGTGACCTTGGGCAAAAACTCTCCATGCCCCATCTGCAAAATGAGGCTAATAATATACATTCATCTTTGCTCAGGGCCTGGAGATTTTTGGAAGGTAAGCACTATTTAACTACAAATGAATCTTAGTCATGATAATGTCCCCCAAATGGATGATCCATGTGACGCTGAGGTGATCACTGACACATTCCACGTTCTAACATGCCTGGACACCATGGTGAGGAACCCTACAGAGAGTTTTGATTATTTTTTTTCAAAGTGACATTATTAAGGGCACAAGAGCAAATGTTTCCACTACATAGGAAAGATAAGAAGTCTCGCAAGAGACCATCCTGGCTTACCCAGGAGATCTTGAATGACCTAAAAATAAAAAAGGAGTCCTACAAAAAGTGGAAACTAGGTCAAATACAAAGGATAAATATAAACAAATAACAAATATGTGGGGGAATGGTAATTGGAGATGTGGATTTAACCATCAAAATTTACAATGAAGAGCTAGCGAGGGTAGAAATGAACACTGTGTTTCATCAGACACCACTCTTTCAAGTTCCCGCAATGAATCTGGTGTCAAGTTGCCACACACGCATTTCTCCTTCAGCAAAGCTGTGGTAATATTGAAAGTACTATTCATGCTACTGAACAGCAGCAAAGCAGCTGTTCCACCTAGATGCCACAGGGTCTAGTGCCATTGTTGATCTGGGAACTTCTTTCCTGAGGTCATTTAAGGGCTTCATCCCCCCCATATAAAAAATTTTTGAAAAAGCTGATGGGGGCAAAGTAGTGCATAGTTCAAAATGGCACCACAAACCCTAGATACTAGACAAAAGGTTCCTAGTTCTAGTGTGGGTTGGGGGACAAATCAGGTAAAAAGCCAGGCCTAGCAGGAGGGAAGGGAGAATCTGACCAAGAAGACAGACCCTAGCAATAGCTCATGGTTTGAAGCCAGTTTCATGATGTGGGGATCCTGATGTTCCCCCCCCCCCCCCCCTTGGTGGCAGCAGCACAGAGCAGGGCATGGCCTAGGGTTGCCAGGTGTCCAGTATCAGCCAGGCTTCCTTCTGGGGAAAAAACACAGAAAATACTCGCCATGTAAAAAGTATTTTCTGTTTTTCTTAGACAGAAGGCAGCTTGGGACATTCTCCCCCTGCCACATCTGGGGACTTTAAAGGCATCATGACCCTTTCTTTTGTGCGGTTGGTTGGGGGTGGGGTTTTTCAACAACTGTAGTCCCCGTGGTTGGTTGGTTGGTTTTTTGTTTGGTTTTTTTGCTCACCCAATTTTTTTCCCACCATGTTCGGTATTTTTTGTGAAACTATCAGGCAACCCTAGCAGGGCCATGCATCCACTCTTTGGTCTATGTACCCCGAGGTATTGGAACAAGGGGCCCGCAGCACCAGGTACAACTCCCTCAATGGTGAGTGTCTGACGGGACGATTCTGGCCTGGACGGCACCTGCCTCCCGCCTCGCCGACCTCAGGAACCCCAGCAAGCCCTGTTCCCCACTCTCCCGAGCTCGCGCCCGTGGCTTCACACAAGGCCACATTGCGCATGTGCGCAGCACTCGCGAGCGTTTCAAATCGGCCCCTTCCAACCTCGTTCTCCGCGCGTGCGCAGTTTCGAAACTGCCGGCAAATTCCAGTCTACTGCGGGACCTTCCAGGATTGGAAGAGCTTGGCGGTACGTCACTTCCTGACTGCTTGGCATAGGCTCTGAGCGGCGCGAGGCAACCGGAGCGAGCGCTTTGCCATCACGTGGCCTTGACTCGCTGTCGCCGGTGACAGTATGGAGGATGGCCGGGAGCAGGCGCGGCCCGGGGTCGGCGTGGGGGTGGTGATTACCAGCCCCCACCACCCTGATTGCGTCCTCCTGGGTAAGAGGAAAGGCGCCGTCGGGAACGGCACGTACCAGCTCCCCGGAGGGCACTTGGAATTCGGGTAGGAGCCACGCGCCGTCCCGCCCCTCCCCCCTTCCCGCAGCCGCACTCGCGGCCGCGCGCTAGGCTAGCGGTGGGGTCGCGCGCTGCCCTTGGGTGCCTGGCGCGTTGGTTCCGTCCCACCCCGCGCGGGCCGGGGCTGCGGCGCCGAGCTCTGAGCCGCCCCCTCCCCCGGCCGCCCGCAGGGAGAGCCTGGCGCAGTGCGCCCGCAGGGAGAGCCTGGAGGAGGCCGCGCTGCACCTGAAGAACGTGCGCTTCGCCTCGGCCGTGAACTCGGTCAGCGCCCCGCAGCGGTACCACTACGTCACCGTCCTGATGAAGGGGGAGGTGGACACGGAGCGCGAGCCCGAGCCCAGCAACCGCGAGCCGGAGAAGAACGAGAGTAAGAGGGGCCGGGAGCGGTACCCGGCACCAGGGCAGCGCCCCCTCCCCAGCCCCGCGCCAGCTCCCGCCCCTCCCCGCAGCAGGGGAAAGGCCGGGACCCGCCAACGCCGGGACTGGCCCCGGGCGGGAGGGGGGTGGAGCGGAACCTGACCAGTCGGTAAATAAACCGTTTTCGGGCTACGGGCAGGAGCGACTTCCGGAAAGCAGGTGTTGAGAGGCCGGCCGGTGGCATCAGGCCCAGCCGGCGGGGAGGGTGTTATTGCCCCAGGAGATGGGGTAGCTCCTCTGCGCCGTTTCCGCTACAAACATCAGATCCAAAGCGAATCCCATGCATAACTATGTCCAAAAAACCTTTAGGATAGATACTCCCAGGCTGAGACCATGAGCACGAGGGCCGATTAAAAGGAAAATAAAATCTGGCATGATCCATCTCAATAACATGTTGCCACTGAAGACGGTAGTACTGTAGTAAAGGAGGGCAGTCTGCCTGTTCACACAAGCCCTCATCTTTGTCCCTACCAGAGAACTGTACCAACACTGGTCCTGTGGGTGAGTAGGAGGTAAATTATGTCCTTCCTGAATCACTTCCTTTAAAAAAAAAAAAAACCCCTCAATAAAAGGACAAGATGCACACCCCTCAGGAAATTCTGTGGATTTCTTATGCCATTTTTTCAGATTTTAATGTTGCATGTATATTGCAGTTTTTACCCCTGTCCTTGTAAATATATTGGAATGGTGCCTTCTCTAGTTGTTTTATGGGCTTTTACACTTTTCCCTCTCTTTTTCTGTACAGGTTGGGAATGGGTTAAATGGGAAGAATTTCCTCCACTAGATCAACTATTCTGGCCTTTACGCTGTTTAAAGGAACAAGGTTACAATCCTTTTACAGAAGACTTTAATCATCTCAGGGGATACACAGGAAATCACCACTAGATGGCATAGTAAATTCATTTTATAGTGTGTATAATAAGTGTTTGTTCTTACAAAGAAACCTGTTTCCATATGTAAAAGACAGGGATATCTTGTTCCCTCCGCTAGCATTCTGTCCTTACCAAAGTCAGAAAGTTGTTGCAGAGCCTTTTCCTTCTTCAACATCAAGCATCTGTAACAGTCGTTGTCCTTGTATCCCATTATTTATTTATTTATTTATTTATTGAACTAATCAATATTAGACATGTTCTCTAATTTAAAACAATCAAGTATCTTATTTTAAAAGATCCTACATATGTTAGAATGGTAGCATCTATCCCATAAACTTTAATATATAGATAGTATGTCCCCTTGATATCTGTGGAACTGCTCAGCTAAAACTAGTGATAAGGGAAAGCTGCAAAGAAATACAGCTTTTCCTTTTATTTGTCGTCTTGTTCTTCATTAAAGTGAAGGTTTGTTTGCTTCCACCCTGCAGTCGTGCCCACAAAAGATCATGATAATATATGTATGTACATATGTGTGTGTGTTAGTCTCTGAGGTACTACAGGACCACTTGTGTTTAGGGTTTTTAGGTTGCAGATTAATAGGGTTACATCCCCCTAAGACTTTTAAACCTGCAGTCATAGTTATAAACACAACTTCTAGACCTTAACAACAGCCTCACACCAGCCTCTGTTATTTTAAATGATGCCACCAACCTCTCCATAGGCAGATTTTATTTCGTTTGGTCATGCTGAGTGCCTTGTACTGGCTGCAGAAACGTGCTAAGTGCTGAAAGAGGAAGCGGGAATATAATGATTTTCAGGAATGGGTGAAAGTTCTAGAATCCTACATGGTAAGTCTTTTTGGTATGAAACTTGAGTTGTTTGAGTTCGCTCTGCTATAAAACATTAACTCATAAACAAATTGTATGTCCTGCTAATCTTCCTTTGATGCCTATGCATAAAGTTGTATGTGTAAAAAGTTGTATGTGCCTGTTAGCACAATGTTAATAGTAAAGTAGAATTCTTAATGTTGCTGAACATGTTGACTTAAAAATATCAGATTTAGCATGAAAATTTTAAAAAAGCAAGACAGTGCAGACAGACTTTCTTTGAGATTTATGGTTGTAGCAGCATTTTTTAAAGAAAATTTTCAGTGCGCTGTATTTGTGTTTCGTAAACTTTCTTAGACCACGGAACACCAAACAATAATATTTTATGTGGAACACCTATGAAAATTTTCTTCCAAAAAAAATTGTTGTCAGACAAAAACAAAGAAGTAACACAAACCAAGAAAACAAAGAAGTAACACAAACAAAGAAGAGGTTGCGGCACACCTGCGAGTTGTTCGCGAAACACCAGTGTTCTGTGGAACATAGTTTAAGAAACACCGCTATACTTACTGTTGTGAATTATGCTGCTGCATAATTCTCAGAAATGCTAGAATGCTATAGCATATTGATAAGTCTTGTTCATAAACATGACCGTTCCTACTGGATGGACTACTAATACTTCATTCATTGGATAAGGAGTGCAGCCACCATTAAACTGGACAAAAGCTATGGCTTTTAGTGTTCATCTAATTTCTCATCATGAAGTGGTGTGACACTCGAAATTTAAATGAATTGGCAGTGTGTAACACTGCAAAAGGCAAATATTTAATATGCACAGAATTAAAGATTTCCATTATTTTATCAGAAAAATCAGAATTCAGATTGGGCCAAATCCTGGTCCCACTGAAGTCAATGGAATTTTTTTCTGTTGACTATGAGGAGACTGGGATTTTACAGAATTATGATTTAAAACATCTGGTGGCTAAAACTTCTTATAAATAGTTCAGTTGTTCTTCAAGCAACATTTTAAAAATATATTTTGTATTCAGAAAGAGGGGGAAGGTTAAGGACAATAACATTGGTTGTTTCACTTGCATAGAATGTATGTAGAGGAAGAATGACAAGATGTTAGGGTACAATGCATTATAATTTCCTACTGAGAAATACTTTTTTTAAATGTGCTACTTAACTGTGCAACCTCTTGTGGAAAAGATGTATATTCCATAAAATATATTGTTAAATATATAATATTCCATAAAATATATTATAAACATTATTGCTAAAAATCGTTTTTAAATTTGACTCATCGTACTTCATACTGCAGTGTATTTTGTGCAAGTTATTTTTCTTTGTAAGAGGTTACTTAAGGTTATCTTCCTGAAGGTAACACTTCATGTACACTGTGAGGGTGCTTTCAAATTATCCCAACCACACGTTAAACAAGACTATCAGAACATGCGACAGGTTTACCGTCCTTCCATCTAATGGTACTAAAGGAAGAGATTAATTTAATTTAGTTTCTGGGAGACACCAAACACGAATGTGAAGGAATAGGCCTAACTTTAAAATGTTTATTGCAAGATAAAACAATTTTATACATATGGATTAATTGATTGGTATTTTTTGTCTGTGTTGCTAATGAACAGAGATCGATATGGTAAAATATTGGGCACAAAATAACACATGTCCAGTTGAAATCTGTCAAAACTGTGGTGTTGCACTCATACTCACACAAGAGACTAGATGTAGGCTGCATCTAGTTTTTTCTTTGCCTAGTTTTACTGTAACACTTCAGCCAGCAAAAGGTATATTCCCATCTTAGTCTTGGGACATGTATAATTCCATGGGCAAGTTAATGTAAGGGAGCTGTTGTTACATTATTCTACAGAATTATTCTACAGAATTGCAACTTCAGTGGTGTCACCCTCTGCAACATGGTGGAGGGAGACTGCTTCAATTTGCTTTGCCATCACGGATCAAAACGAGTAGCAGTTCAGTGGTATTATCAGCTTTCTTTGGCCAAAAAAGTGCAGACACACTGGTTAAGGCATCAGTATCTAGTCAGAAATTATGGAATCCACTCCAAATGTTATTAGCTAACATACCTTACTTAACAGTTAATTACAGCATCCAAGTAACATATTACAACATCCATACGTTACTCCTAAATTTGCTTAGTATTCTGTGATTCCCCTGCAGAAGTGGAACTGTAGAGCTGCTGGCTACCAGTAGGAGCTGTTAAACTCACTCAGCTGGCAGTGATTGAAGTGACCAGCCTGTCAGGGATATAGGTATTCTGCACATTTTGGCTGCCAGGCTTCATCATGCTCCTAGGGATGGGGTCCAGATCTGGCAAAAATTGGGAAATGGTGTGGTTCCTCCCTGTTCCCCAGCAGGATAGTAAAGAAGCTGGTGGGAGTGAAGGCTTTGGGGTTTCAGGTGTCTGAGCTGGGGCTGCCCCACAACTTGGGGTGGAGGATGGGGTGGCTGGAATTTTGGGAACCCTGTGGCTGGGCTCAGAAAGGAATAGAAGTGAAGGTGTCTAGGCTGGGGGGTTCCCCTAGCTGGGCTCTGGAGGAAGAGTAGTGCAGGTTTCTGGAGTCCCCACTCAAGGCCTCCCCTCCACCCCACTGGAACTGGGGGAATCTTTGTGTTTATTGTTGACATACTTACTGACACGTATTTTGAAATTACAAAATAATTGAAACTAAAGCGACTTATACTGTTGTTTTGACAAATAAAATATGCAGAATTTTAAAATACCGTGTGCAGAAGTTCTGACTTTTTTGTGCAGAATTCCTCTGGGAGTATTATTTTTGCTTTAGTCTTGGTCACTGTTTTAAGTGCAGATTTTTGCTTTAGTCTTGGTCACTGTTTTAAGTGTAAAACTATAATAAAAGCCAAAAAGATGTTTGAAGAGCTGCTATCCAAAAACTCAAAGTAATAGCACAATGTTTAAGTATATCAGAAGCAGGAAGCCTGCTAAACAACCAGTGGGGCCCCTGAACAATTGAGATGCTAAAGGAGCACTCAGATGATAGTCATTGTGGAGAAACTAAACAAATTCTTTGCTTCGGTATTCATGGCTGAGGATATTGGGGAGATTCCCAAACCTGAGCCATTCTTTTTAGGTGACAAATCTGAAGAATTGTCCCATATTGAGGTGTCATTAGAGGAGGTTTTGGAACAAATTGATAAATGGAACTGTAATAAGTCACTGGGACCAGATGGCATTCACCCACGCATTCTGAAAGAAATCAAATGTGAAATTGCAGAACTATTAACTGTGGTTGGTTAACCTATCCTTTAAATCACCGTCTGTACCTAATGATTGGGAGATAGCTAATGTGATGCCAATATTTAAAAAGGGCTCTAGTGGTGATCCTGGCAATTACAGACCAGTAAGTCTAACATTAGTATCCAGCAAATTAGTTGAAACTATAGTAAAGAATAAAATTGTCAGACACATAAATGAACACAATTTGTTGGGAGAAAGTCAACATGGTTTCTGTAAGGGGAAATCATGCCTTACTAATCTACTAGCGTTCTTTGAGGGGGTCGTCAAACACATGGACAAGGGGGAATCCAGTAAATATAGTGTACTTAGATTTCCAGAAAGCCTTTGACAAGGTCTATCACCAAAGGCTCTTAAGTAAAGTATGTTGCCATAGGATAAGAGGAAAGGTCCTCTCATGGATTGATAACTGGTTAAAAGACAGGAAACAAGAGTAGGAATAAATGGTAAGTTTTCAGAATGGGGAGAAGTAACTAGTGATGTCCCCCAAAGATCCGTACTGGGACCAATCCTGTTTAACTTATTTATCCCTTTCTCCAGATCATTTATAAACAGTGAGGTGGCAAAATTTGTGATGATGCTAAACTGCTCAAGACAGCTAAGACCAAAGCAGATTGAAGAGCTTAAAAAAGATCTCACAAAACTAAGTGGCTGGGAAACAAAATGGCAAATTAAATTTAATGTTGCTAATATTACCCCAAGTTTCATTGGAGACCACCCCAGAGTTACACTCATAGATTTATTAAATGAGGAATTAAAATCCACTATAGGCTTAAACTCAAGGGGATTGAGCTGTCATTGAATGCCACTATAGGTTTAAATTCAAGGGGTGCGTCTAGATTGGCAAGATTTTGTGCAAAAGAAGCTGCTTTTGCGCAAAAACTTGCCAGCTGTCTACACTGGCCGCTTGAATTTGTGCAAGAGCACTGACTTTGTAATGTACAAAATCAGCACTTCTTGCGCAAATACTTTCCTGCTCCCGCTCAGGGATGAGCCCTCTTGCGCAAGAGGGCCAGTGTAGACAGGCACCTTAATTTTTTGCGCAAGAAAGGCCGATGGCTAAAATGGCTATCGGAACTTTCTTGCACAAAAGCGCATCTAGATTGGCATGGATGCTTTTGCACAAAAGCATCCTGGCCAATCTTGACATGCTTTTGAGGAAATATTTTTAACGGAAAACCATTCAAAGTATTTCCACAAAATCATGCCAGTCTAGACACAGCCAAGGGGAAGAGCTATCACACACAAACATTCATTCTCACATAGGCACACAAATTCATGCCCTCAGGCACTCATACACTTGCACAGGCAAAAGCTTGCAGAGTGAGCCAAGGCATATTGATTGCAGAGGTTTGCCTCTAGCCATGGATCCCAACTGTGATCAGATGGGAAAGAGGGCTTCTGCCATGTGTTCTCTCTGTTTATTGGAACTGGGCAGCTCCTGTCATGCACACAGGGTCTTTCCTCTGCTTGGTCACCAACGAGCATGCCCAGACCTCCCTTGATCAGGCTCCTTTGTAAAGCAGAGGTGTCTCTCTGATTGCAAACAGTGGCTCCTGGCTCCACATGTGTAGCTTTGCTGTTTTCCTGCCCAGACACACTCATAGCCTCCATTCACATGCACATTCTTATTACAGGGTGGAATGCACCTTAGCAAGTTACAAGCAAAGTGGCTGAAAGTTACAAAGAAACAATTACAAAGCTCAATGGTTACAAAGATACCTTCCAAAGCACAGCAACTGACTGAGAACAATTTCCATCTTAATCATCAGTAATAAAGTGGCTTAGAAGACAACTCCTCCCTTTCCTTTCCCTCCCTTCTCTTCCTCTCTCCCCTCCCCCCATGTTCACAGCAATGCAGTCAGCAGCAGGTTTTGTCATCTAAGTCGTGTGATGGCAGGAGCTTATGGTTTAATGCATTTCAAGAAAATGTAATAGCTGGGGTGGGACTGTCTTGTAAACTTATATGCTTGCATAAGTCTAATCTTAACTCACATGACTATTAGGAATCTTAGTTCATAAGAATCATGCTGGCAAAAATAAAAAATAAACCCAACTATACATACATATACAATATGATGGGGACTAATTTAGCTATGACTACTGAAGAGATTTTAGAGTCATTGTGGATAGTTCTCTGAAAACATCCACTCAATGTGCAGCAGCAGTCAAAAAAGCAAACAATGTTAGGAATCATTTAAAAAGGGATAGAGACTAAAATGAAGAATATCATATTGCCTCTATTATAAAACCACAGTACTCCCACATCTTGAATATTGTGTACACATGTGATCACCTCATCTTAAAAAAGATATTGGCATTGGAAAAGGTTTAGAAAAGAGCAACAAAAAAGATCAGGGGCTTGAAATGTGTCCCCTATGAAGAGATAAAAAGACTGGGACTTTTCACCTTAGAAAAGAGGAGACTGGGGGGATATGGTAGACATCTATAAAGCCATGACTCGTGTGGGAAAAGTGCACGAGGAAAAGTTATTTACTTGTTCCCATAATCTAAGAACTAGGGTTCACCAAATTAAAAGGTAGCAGAATTAAAACCCAAAAAAGGAAGTTTTTCTTCAGGCAGCACACACTCAGCCTGTGGAACTCCTTGCCAGAGGATGTTGTGAAGACTAGGACTTATACAGGGTTCAAAAAAGAACTAAATACATTCATGGAGGTTAGGTCCATCAATGGCTATTAGCCAGGATGGGTAGGAATGGTGTCCCCAGCTTCTGTTTGTCAGAGGCTGGAAATAGATGACAGTAAGCAAGTTGTGCAAAATTTGCCATTGTATCTGAAATCCTCATGTTCAAGTGCATGCGTGAAAGGCAGGTTTCCAACACATCCATGATAACTGGGACTTATGTTTAATGTACCATTACCGGTGGCTGTTCATTCCAAAACCCATAATACAGTTCTCATGCAGCTTTTGCACAGCATTGGCTCCTCCATTGATCAAAACCAAGTATTTCCTTTAAAGGCTGCAGTTGCAGCTTTGGTTGGCACCACATGGAACTGAATGAAGGATTCTATATTTCCCCTCAGCCTCATGAGGGATAAGATTATCGCTTGTGCTCCCAATATCTTAAGAGTTCCCTGAAGAAAAATGCAGATGGCAAAAGTATTTTTCATGCTATAGTTACACTCTGCTATTACGGCAAGGATTAACATGATGTGTCTAGCAGTGGTTCCCAAGATAGAGTCTACACTAATTAAAAGTTACCATCTGATGAATAGCTACCATTGCAGTCATGAGAGAAAGTGACTTTCAAATGGTACCTAGTTTGACCCATTTGGGATGCCATTGCATTATCAAAAGACTTGGAGCTGGGAGTCCCCATCCCCTACCAGCCCCACGTTACAGAGGAAACACCACTGAAATTATGATTTGCTACATTATCAGATTATACCTCCTTTATGTTTCCATCATTAATTTGCTCAGCAGATGGAATTTCACTCCAGTGTGCTCCTAGATGCTCTCTTTTGTTCTAGACTGATTAGTTCTTAATGTACAGTTTTCAGTCAACACAAGCTGATCCTTTAACAGAGTAGCCAACAAATCAGAAAAGTAAATGCTCTATTTATGGGCGGGGGTCTTACTTTCTCAGTGTTCAGAACCTTGCTTGTCAGCTGCAAATACCAAAGTTCCAAAACTGTTCTGCTTGTTTGGGTAATAGTAGCACTCCACACAGCCCATCCTCTCAAATAGTCAGCTCTTCATTTTCCCTACCTTGTGTAAACACAAGGTAGTCAGACTTTGGTAGACACAATATATGTGGTAATTGTCCCTGGGTGACAAGGAGAAGCTTTTGGTAAGTGGGTACATGATTTCCTAGGTTCTTTACCCCATATGCCATGGGCCCAATTTTATTTCCACCTACAGATTCTGGCTCAGACAGCCTACCATAGGTGAGGCTTTCTCTCTGGAAAGAAGTCTGAAAAGGTCAGCAGTATTATTTCCAGAAACTTGGGATAGCCATTGTTTACTGGATGATTTGAAAGAAGGTAGTTGAGTCATTTTTTAGTCATGGTCCCATCAATAAATTCTTAGGATTGTCTGCTAAAGGCTTCAGTATGATTCAACTATATCAGGGTTACATGCAACACTGTAGGACCAGTTTATGCGCCAATCTTCATCTTGAGCCCCTTCTTTAATAGTGCCCTGCTTCTGTCTCTACTCTCTTTTCCTCCTCCTGTATGCCATCTAAGGGCAAGGATATGTCTTCACTGCAAAGTTAGCCCAGATTAGACTCTCTCTGCTGTGATCAGTCTCTACTGCAAACCCCTACCTGGATAGATGCACTTACTTACTCTTTCTGCCATAGGCAATGACCCATGGGAGCACTGATGGAAAAAAATGAGTGGCCACTGGTGGGCAATCAGCTCCTCTCCCTCTCTTCCAGCATCTGACACCCCCAAGATCAGCTATTCAACAGCAGGCACTTGGGAGATGGGTGGGGCA